GGAATAACACAGGGGCATCTTCTCAGCCACTACCACCCTGGTGCCTCCAGTTCCAGCTGTGAGAGCTGGAGAATGCTTGGTTCAGTCTATCCACTTCACTGGGTTGGAATTTTAGTATTGCAAGTGATTTTCTAAATGCTATTTAAAGGATACTAAATAACTAGCTTGTTTGGTGGGGATTTTGGTGTTTTTGTTTGTTTGCTTTCCTTGGGGGTATCTAAACCCAAGAATTGCTGTGCCCTTTACCCATAGTATGGTGGCCTGTTGTTGGCATGTGTTTTGAGGGAAGAGGAGTTGTTTTGTTAAAGAAATATGAGAAAAGAGGTGGCTGCAAATATTAGCTGTCTGCTAGCTAGAAATTCAAATGGAGTGGGTAACACAGGGCCTGATTTGAGGTGAAATTGTGCATTCCAAGATCACTCCTGGGCAGCAGAAAGAGGCTCTGTTCTCTGCACACATCAGCATTGGCTGACTGCTGTGAAACAAGGTTTACCAGAAAGATCAAGAGTCCTCATTTCAAATTCAGTGCTGTTAATAGAGTTCAGAAACAGCTAAGCAGTCTGTGAACATCATTTAACTACAGGGGATTATGTTGCAATAACAAGACACTTGATTTATCTGTGTTGAACACAGAGACTGGCTGATGGAAAAAGTAAGGATTGACTGATACCTAACCATTTCCACACCCCTGGTAATCAGACCAAGAAACCTGCAGAATTGTATCTACTCATAAGGAAGGGTAAGGGGTTGGGGGAGTAGCATGTAAGAATTTAATAAAAGCTTCAGGTTTTGAGGGGAGGACACCTCACTTGATGATCTACGCAGTTACAAATCTTGGCATGAAAGACAACAATTCTATCAGTGGATCAGTACTCTCAGCTTTTGAATTAGGAATTCCATGTGAACTGATTACACACCTCTGTGGGAGCTCAGAGGAAGCAGAATTTAAATCCTAAGGCTTATTCCTCATTGCCCTGTACAAAGATGGCGAAACAGCAATTTTCCCTAAATGTTCAGCATTTAGGAAAAAAAATAAATAAATAGTTGATGCTCTGTGGCTCAGTAAGCTCTAGAGTAGGTAACATCTTCATGAGCTCTGCACGCCATCTGGCAGGCATTGAAGCAATAGTGCCACAGTGCTGGGCAGTAGTTGCCACATTTATAATTAAAGCAGCATGTGGAATATATCTAGTAAGAGTTAGAGAGTTGCTCTAAAACTGACATAGTAGTATTCCATTACAATCAGTTCATTCAACCACACTGAGTCTCAAGGTATCTGCAGTCACTGAACAGAAAAACAAAACAATAACAACTTCAAGAAACAAACCAGAAAAAAAAAAAAAAGTTGGAGAAACAGAATGTATATAGCTCAAGAGAAGCTTTTAAATCGCCAAGTACTACAGAATGTAGGAAGCTTCACCAGAACAATGCTAACAAGAGGAAACAGACTACAAACTATGCACAGGAAAAAACAATGTGCCAAACAGCTACCTGTGACATAATCATTGTATTTCTGTGAACAAGATGATATGACTGAATGTAGTGGTTTTGCACGGCCTGGTTTTTGGTAGCGGCGGGGGCACAGAGGTGGTTCCTGTGAGAAGCTGCCCCCGGGGCCGGAGAGGCTAGCCCCGATCTTCGCTGACACGGGACGGAGGGGACCGGCCGTCACACGGGCACAGGCGTGAATTCCGGGAGAACGCCTCCCTCAGCTCCGACCCGGGCCCGCCCCGGGNCCCCGAGCGGTGCCTGCGCGGGTCCCCGGGCCTGCCGCTGTGTTGGCTTCCATAGGGCTGGCTCCGGCCGGGCTTGGTGTCCGCGCTGCCTCGGGCCCACGGTGATCCAAGGCCTCGTCGCTCTCGCCGTTCGTCCACGGTGAAGCCTCCGTAATTCTCAGGAGCACTGCCGACCAGAGCGCCTGTTAAATATAGCAGGGCTTCTTTTTGAGCCTGTGTGGGATGTCATAGGGTGCTGCAGGTTACAGAGACCTGCTTTGAAATACCTGGAGAGTTGAATTTGGAGGCAGCAACCTCAGAAACCATCTTTAAATATTGTGTTGATGTTTCAAGGATTAAGTGTTGAACTACATGGTGTTTCTTGCATGCAGAGTTTTGAAACTAAATCGCCTCTGTACTGTTCTTTGTTTTCTTGTCCATAGGAGCTTTAGGAATAGGTGTCACATAATACATGCATTTCTTCCTAAGTGCTTATGAGGAACAGACGTAACACAACTTTATCTGTTCTCTATTCCCTGGTGCACTGGGAGGAAATTTTGGATGTTTGATTTATTTCCTGGTAGATACAGCACCTAATCCTGTTGAAATGAACTGATTTACCTCTTACTGCCTGGAGAGCTCTTGAGTGAATCAAAACACTGTTCATTCTATTCAGGATGATCCTTTCTGCACAATTCATATGTGAAAAGTTATTTGCCGGGCTTGATAATGACAATTTATCTGCACTTATTATTTATCAAGAAACGTTTTTTCTTCTGTTGATCAATGGTAGTACACCTTTGGGAGAGAGTCAAGCCATTCACTGGGAAGCCACCATGGAGTCCAGGTGACAAGTACAAAGCATAAGCTAAAACATAAACATTGGTCAGAGGCTGAGCTTACTATCAATTTGATTTACATGAAGATCTTCTTACATTCATTAGGAGGACATTTTCCTCTGAACCTCTTAATCAGTTAAGTGAATAAATAATAGAACCTCAAAAAATTATGTGCCCTTACAAAGGTGTTTTAGAAAACCTCTTATATCGTGTTGTTTGTTTTTATTTTCTTCTTAATGTTGTGGTTAATCTTCAAAAAAGTATTGGTAAAATTATATTGTCCTTGAAAAAAGTGTGTCACCACTTTTGAAACTGCTTTGTTTATAGTAAAATGTATCCTTTTACAGACAAAAGGGAGCAAGAAAGAAGGAAAGAGGTTTTGTCTGTAAGCTAAATGCATAATTTTAATCATCCTAATCAGAATCACAGAATTCAGAGTCACAGAATATTCTGAGTTGGAAGAGACCCATAAGGATCATTGAGTCCAGTTCTTAAGTGAATGGCACACGAGGGGATAAAACCCACAACCTTAGCATTACTAGCGCCATGCTCTGACCATAAGTGATGCATGGCAAAGCTGAGACTTAGATGTACTACAAATTTCTCAGTAAGTCTCCTATGTGCTTCAGGTTTTTTGATGTTTTTTTCTAAATTGTTATTTTTCTGTCTCTTGTTTATTTCCAGGAGAGCCATATAGGCTTTTAAGTGGTATAGAATATGTTGTTGGACGCAAAAACTGCTCCATTTTAATTCAGGATGATCAATCTATCAGTCGAAGTCATGCAGTTCTGACCGTAAGTCGGCCTGAAACAAGTCCTGTAAGTAGCCACCATTTTACTACATTATCAATGCACTATGGGAATAATTCAAGCTGCTATGACTGTGCATACTCATATTTTGCTCTCACATGTTCTATGCTTGGAGTAGAACCATTGATCACTTGTTCTTTTTTGGGTTTTTATGTTGAATTTTTTTTTCCCCTTAGGTTTGTTTGCTTCTATTAAGGAATTTAGTGGCATAATTTAATAGTCCAAGCTTCCTTTTATCTCAAAAGAAAGATTCACTAGGAATTTGTATTAAAATAAACATAGCAGGAAAATTATGCAATTAAGTTTCATTACACAGGCAAATTTTAGGTTCAGGGAAGTGGTTCAGTTGTTTTACTTCAGACTTAGTTTCTGTTTCATTTCACATCATTAATTCTGTATTTGCTATGGGCACAGAAAAATTTACCAAGGAGAATTAGCAATCTGCAATATGCTGTCACTAAGTGTTGTGACATATATGGATGTTTTGAAGCCAGTCAGCAGAAATTTCATTTATGTAACCTTATGCAGTTTTAAAATAAAACATGTAAAATATATAAAATAAATTTGTCCCTTTAATTCTGCAAATACCGATTGAGTCCAGCAGAGGGCTATGAAGATAATGAGGGGACTGGAGCTCCTCAGCTGAGGGATCTGGGCCTGTTCAGCCTTGAGAAGAGACAACTGAGAAGGGACCTCATCAATGTCTATAAGTAGCTGAGAAGGTGTCAACAGGATGGAGCTAGGCTCTTCTTGGTGGTGCCAAACAATAGGACAAAGACAATGACAGATACTGGAACACAGAAAGTTCCACTGAACATGAGTAAGAACTTTACTGTGAGAGTGACTCAGCACTGGAACAGACTGCCCAGAGAGGTTGTGGAGGTTCTGTCTCTGGAGATACTCCAGAGGAGCCTGGAGACAATCCTGAGTAGCCTGCTATAAGGAAACCTGCTTCAACAGGCAGGTTTGATTAGGTAATCTCCACTGGTCCCTTCCAACCTTATCTCTTCTGTGAAATATCATATAAATGCATGGCAGAATTTCATAAAAACAAGCTGTCAGTGTTCTCATTGGCTTGTGAACCACTTTGGAAATCTGACAATATCTAGCTCTTCTCAAGAGATGCTGGAGTCTCCAGGTCCTGCAGTTTGGGGAAGAGTAGCATTCTTCCTGGAAGGAAGTGCAAGAAAGTGCCCCCAGGTGACCTCAGGCTTTCTTACTATTCAGCCCAATGCCCAGAATAGAATTGAGTGGTAGGTAAAAACATAATAAATCTCAGAGCTTTGCCAAATTGCACTAGCTCAGGCTTTGGGCCAATGAATGACTGCCATGCACAGTTTCCAGAAAGACAAAGTGTAATCTCCAGAAAGACTAAGTGTAAGAAGCACAAAAGTTCTAAAGCTAAAAACAGGTGGATTTTCTCATTCCTCTACAGTGAAAAACAGAAGATAAATAATTACATATAGCAAGCCTCATTTTCCAGAGTCTTTATTTAAGATGGTATTTTGTGGGCTGCTTCTTATTTATCCATTGCTTTGATCCACAGTGATAGTAACTTGTTTCTGATAAAGCTGTCTCATTCTGATAATCTGTAATGGCTTGTTTATGTAAGAGATACATCCAAGTATGGTACCTTTGTTAATGGATCAAAACTCAATGGTACTTCAGTGTCTTTGCAGTCTGGTGACAGAATCAACTTTGGAGTCTTTGAGAGCAAGTTTAGGTAAGTGTTTTGATTATAAAACATCAAGTAAAAAATTAATTTTTAGAAGAGTATTTTAGCACATCATACAACTTTGCAAGTGATACAGCAATGATGAATTTTTAGGAAGCGAAGGAGGTGAATAGTGTTTTGCCTGTATTCCACACCTGCTTCTGAAATAGTTTTCCATTATATTCTTATGTAATTTATTTTGACACTGGGAGATTAAAATTTTAGATAAGAAAGCTTTGGCATTTTAGGTGTGTCATGTACAGTGAGTATTTTCAGGCTCTCTTAGGCAAATAACAAAATCCTACACCAAATGAGAAGGAGAAAGGTTTAGAGTTTGTTGGAGCCCTTGTGAGCTGTTCATAATGTAATGAGAAAAGAGCTGATGTTGCAGGAGGATGTGAACTGAACTTGATATTTTTTTCCAAATTTAACATGGTAGCCAGTGCTGTCTGTTTATTTATAGGAAGCACTTCTGGAAATAAATAGCAGATAAATAGAAAAAGTCTAATAATCATTAAACTCCAAGTAATCAGAAGGTGGCTTTGTGCCTTAAATTTTATTCAGTTTTATCAATGCTGCTGGTATTGTTTAGTGTTAGAAAAAACTCTCCTCCAATTACTACAATGAATTATTTTTTTTGTATTTTAGGTAAACATACCTGAAACATGATACAGGAATCATACCATGAGACCGGATACATCATGGCTGTTGTACTAGAAAGTCTACAAAGTAGAAAGAAATTTAAATAATCTAAAAATAAAATAATGCAATTTGACATGGAAGATCTAAAATATGTATAAAGGTTTATGGTCAAGGATAATGGAAATATTAGGAAACTGTTATTTGAAATTGCATTTTATGACACTTATATTTTTAAGTATTGATCTGTTGGTGACCTGTTCCGTTTACCATGCTTTTGCTTTTGGAGGCACACACTCAAATTTATTTTGATATTCCCAGTCCTTGCACTATTCTTGCAGCACTAATTCTGTGTGATGTCTGAAAGAGCCACAAGTCCATAGAAATATTTCAGACATCAGGTCAAGTTGTCGTTAATTTTTCTGAATAAAAATTAGTATTTTGTTTCTTTAGTAAATTTTAAAGCAGGAAGATTTTACTTTGATCTAGATTAGAGTGGATCTTTTATTGTTTTTCCTTCAGAATTCCATGAGATACAGATGTGATAGTTAAGTCAGCTCTGTTCATCATAATGATTGGCCAAATTCACTTAAGCAATTCTCTTTTACTTGTTCTTTGCAGAGTGGAATATGAACCTTTGGTTGTCTGCTCCTCATGTTTAGATGTAGCTCAGAAAAAGGCTTTAAATCAAGCCATTCAACAGCTTGGAGGCCTTGTAGCAAATGAATGGACAATAGAATGTACCCACCTTGTAATGGTATCAGTAAAAGTTACTGTTAAGGTATGTAGAGCTTTTGCGTGTTGCTTTGCAGTTTTCCCACAAATGCTAATTAAATTCTAGACCTGTTGAAGATCTTTCTCTACAAAACTGTAGTCAACTCTTCTTTTTCCAAGTTTGAGGATGTGTATGTCAACAGGAGGTTGTAGGGAAAGAAAACAAAAAAAGCCAGTTTTGAAGACTTAGTGATTTTCATCAGTTGCCCTCTTCATTTTCATAACTTTAATCAAGACACCAATTAAAAGTTAGGCTGTTTGAAGCAAGTCCTAGAAGCACAAATGAGTATTGTTTTATTTGTTTGATATTTTCCACATCTTGGCTCTTAAAAAACTAATGTCAGTCAAACCATACTCTCTTTGAACTTCTATGCAGTAAATTTGTATTTCCTGTTTTTTCAGACTATATGTGCTTTAATTTGTGCTCGACCAATTATAAAACCAGAATTTTTTTCTGAATTAATCAGAGCTATTCAGTCCAGGCAACAGCTGCCAAATCATGAAAGGTAAGTTGCCAAATCATGTTTACTGTGTTGCAGAATGAAATTTATGGGAATTAGATTATCAGATAACTACGCATTTATCTGTTGATTTTTGACATAATATGCAATTCACAGTAATTTTATTTGTGGAAGAATGCTTAATATGATTAATGTTTTAATATTGCAGTTTTATTGTTCTCATTCCTAGAGTTATAAAATGAGCTCTGGAATTGACTCTATTCTTAGAGATGTTACTGTCTCTAAAAAGGAATTTGTTTTATTGGAATTGAAGTGTTGCTTCAAACACTTTTGGGAATTGATACATAAAAATAAAGCAATTGTGTCAAGTTTCTTTCATTATGTAGAGTTATTTTCCCAGTGTGCTGTTAGTTACTGAGTTTACTGTAAACTTTGGTCAGAATAGAGTTAGCCTGATCGTTGAATTCTCTGAAATGGAAGTGGTTTTTAATTATCTGTCAAGAGATGAAGTGAGACTGCTATGCATTGGCCTTCACTAAATGACAATAAAATACTCACTGATTTCATGGTTAAATTAACTTCAAAAGGGAATTCTTAATTTGGAACCAGTAAATTCTGCAGAATAGCTCTTCTTATTTTCTTGATTTGAGAAAATGTAAAACAGTCCAAATATTGTATGTGACAATTTCATCTGAGCCCATATTGCTGCTCATTTTACCTTGAAAAGGGAGACATGTGTTTTGTTTGGGGGTTGTGGTTGTTGGTTTTTTTGTTGTATGAACACATGGTTTGTACAGGTGAGAAATTTCCGCTATGTCTATACATTCATATGTGCATAAATATGCATATATGTTAGGAAATGGCAGTTAATTTTCTTTAGTAGATGTGGAAGTAGCTATTGGTAGAACAGTTTGAAGGCTGAGGCTCAGTAGATACTAAACAAACTTCTGGTGCATACATGGAAACAAACAAAATGAGAGGATTCACAATAAGCTGTGCTTGATATGTGGTAAAATACATTTCATAGAGCATGACACTTCTTGTTAGAAAAACACAGATGCCAATCTGGAGCAATTGGTAGGAAATACTCCCTATTTTCTAGATGCTGCTTTACGTTAGTGGGTTTTATATGACATGTCAGATCAGTCATCTGTGAGTGGTTTAAAACTCATTTGTTCTTCACTTTCAAAAGAAAGGGAGAATCTGAATGAATTATAACTTTCCCTTCTAGTTAAACTTCTGCATTGTTTTCAGAGGATGTAGGAAAATTAAACAAACAATTTAATACTCTCTGAAATACTTTCCTGCAAGATTTTTTTAATGTATTGTAGTATAGGTCATACAAGCCATGAAAAGCTAGTGATTGGTTGTGCAACTTGAAATTTGTTTGGTCAAGTATTATCTGGTGGTAATGCTGCTGTTCCTGTCTGTTACAAGAACAAGTCAACAGTGTCTTTGTCTTGTAACCAGGATGTGTGTCCATTTAATACAGAAGTGAGTGTAATTGGCTTTTAAGTGCTCCCTAAAACAGAAGCAGATGGATATATTTACCTTTCTGAAATATTTTTGCTAACTTTTAAGATGCTGAGGGGGCCTGAACTGACTAAAAGGTAGTGACACTAGCAGTACACACATGTAGCTTTCACAGAGAGTTCTGCATCAAGGTAAATGAAACAGTTAATGTAATACACAGATCTATGTTTAAAATAATTGCTGTATTTTAAATAGGTCATATTTTTGAGATGTGACTTGTGTGAAGATGCTGAAAATTTACTTAGCAGCTTTTTTAATTAAATTTTCAAAAATACTTCTAATTTTGACTGGGAATCTCTACACTGTGCATTGTAGCTAGAGCTGACCTGAGCTGGTATAGCCACGGGATACCAGACAGCTTGGGGCAGTACTGGTTTGGGTGTGAAAAGGGAAAATTATATGGAGACAGCAATACTTGATGGCACTGTTAATTAAATCAATACTAACATTGCAGAGCTGATCCCTCAAAAAAATTCTAGGGAAACATCTGAAACTGAAAAATTAAAAAATAAAGAATCTTTTTCGTTTATAGTAAAACTTCATATAATGGCAAACCTACAATTCCCATATGAATGTGGGACTTGAGTTTTTTATGGTGTTACCCCTGTCTTGTGTACTTTCTGATAACCTTCGCAAGGAAGAACAAAAACTGAAGATTCCACAAATGACTGCGTAAGCACAGTCCTGTATGAAATAATGTGTTTTATTACTGCAGTCCAGTGTCAATAGAGCAGGGTAATAGAGTTCTTAACAGAAACTCACCAAGAATCAAAATCTATTTATTGGGAGATTCGAGGTTCCACAGGAACTTTTCTGGATAATGGTGTTACTATTAAAAGCTTATGAGACTAAATATGAGGAGCACTTCAGAATCCTGATGGCAAAAGACTGTTGCCTTTTAAGCTTAACTCACCATTGGATAAGAGCTTATAAGGAAAATCAAAGGTTGTTTCTTTGGGTCTTTTTGGAGACAATCGTCAGTTAAAGTTGTTTGTTGACATTAAAAAATGGAGATTTTAAAATATATTTATAAAGAAACTATGGTCCAGTTTCAAAGTCATGAAAACTGTTGTTTTTCCATTTTTACTCGTGCTTTCATCTTTAAAGATTATTTTGTCCCTTGTATTATCTTAGGTTAAATCTGTTTCTATGGGGCCTGTTGTCAGAAGTTGTCTGGCATAATAACTAAAGTCTGAATTGCCCTATTTCTATTTTAAATTAGTAGGCTTTATCACATCTGTTCAATTTCAATGTAACAATATTTTTGTAAACAGATTTGAACAGGCTGCTGAAATAGATCAAATACTTACCTTTCAAAATCTGGTAGATTCAGGTTGCTTAATTTTCATTGTGTACATAAAGTTTGAAGAATGATTGTGAAGACTGAGATTGTGAAGAACACATAAGAATGAAGATTATTTAAAAACACCTGTGACTATATAGCACATTTTAGCATGTCACAATTGAATTGTGTATTTGGATGAAGTAGGAAATTTATGTGCTTATTTTTGTGTTCAGCTTGAAATACATGAATGTTCTCAATGTTTGAGGGATGTTTTTCTGTTTACAGATGCTCAATTTTTTTCTGAATCATCAATATTTCAGCACTTCATATGTGTCTTCCTTAGAGTCTGCCAATCATTGCCGTTAAACCAAATTTGATGGTGTGTTTCAGCATCTTTTTTTTTTTTCCTGCATAGTAGTATGAAAAGAATATATAATTAGCAGTCAGAATTAAGATAAGTAGTTCAGTCATCAGCTAAACTGTGTACATAAACAGCTGTTTGGGTACAGATGTAGTATAGTTTGGTTAAAATTGATCTGTAGTTTACCTTCTTTCTGATGTATGCCTTCACCTTGCTCTGTCAGAGCTGCTGTATGTGAAAATTGCTGTATGAATATGTGGCTCAAAGATGTTGTAAGTATCCTGAAATTTCTGATTAGATTAATGTCCTAACTCTAGAGGCTTTTTGTGCCCTGGGCAGGCCATCATTAACTGGAGCTGAGGTCACAGGCTCTGACAAAATTTAGGGCTTCAGGGTAGAATTTCTTTTTGCCTAATATGTTTCTCAGCTAAACTCCTGCTCCCTTTGCCTATATTGGAAAAAACTGTAGAGAATCTGCAGAGTGAATCCTTCAGTTCTCTATCCCACCAGCAAGAGAAGTATACTTGTCTGCTGTCATATTATGGCTGTTTTGAGTGTACTGATACACAATTTCTTGACACAGTAGAGGAGGTTGAGGAGTGGCTATCCCCACGTGGAGGTAGAGGAAGCAAGGTGACTTATTTTGTGTGGAGTTTTACTATTATCTAGAGTAAGTGCAGAATGAAGTTGCATTCTCGTTTGTCTGTATTGTTAGTAGGAATGTGGATATGTCTTGGTCTTTGATGCTGAGAAATTAGGGGCTCTGTTCTTAACAATCTCTTGAAAATTATTTATGTAAGTAGTTTTAACAGAGAAATGCAGGATTTTCAGAAATTCAGAACTTTAAAACAGAAAGGACTATGAGTCAGTACTGATAAGAAAATCTGAATTTTTTAACTTTAATTTTCTGTACTTGCAGCTTTTATCCTCCAGTTGATGAGCCTTCCATTAGCAGTGAAAACCTGGATTTATCTGAGCATCATGAAAGGAAAAAAATATTCAGTGGAAAAACCTTTGTATTTCTAACTGCCAAGCAGGTAATCAGGCTTTACATTGCAAAAATATTGCAGGGGTAGCTCAGTACGGATTTGCTCACTCTGAAATCACACTCATTCTGGGTTCATCAGGAAAAAAGGATTTCTGTGTATTTATCCTGCAGTACAGTGGCCTAAGCAAGATAGAATGTAGAAGAGGAGCAGAACATATTACATCTGCAGTAGTGCATCCAGTGAGAAGCACTATGCTGATAGTTCTCTATTCTGATACCTCTAAACTCATTCTAAGATTTCTTTTTATTTGCATTCTCTTTTTAGCACAAGAAACTGGGTCCAGCAGTTGTTCTTGGAGGAGGGGAAGTAAAGTTGATGACAGAAGGAAGAAAAGAAATGCCTTTACTACTTTCTCCTGAAGTCTGTGTTGTTGATGTGGGTTTGGCAAACTCTCAGATCTCAGGATCTGGCTCTGTGACAGACTGGACAGATTCCATTCTGACTGCCTTGGAAAGGTGCAGCACTGTTCTCTTGTACAGTGGTAGGGTAATTTCAGAACTTCTACAGAGACTTGGTCATGGTGTTTGCATACATATTTAAGCAGGAAGTTGCTTATAGAGAGGGCATTTTTTCATTGTTCTAAGTGTTTAGTGGAGTAACTAAAACTTCTTGAAGCAGTAAAGAAAGAACTTGGCAGTTCTGTGAGGATTTGATGGAATTTGTTTTCTTGTCTTTTCATTAATTTTTTTGTAGAACTCACTTCTACAAAAATTCATTGTGATGAAGCTGCTTTAAAATTACAGACAGCAAGTAATTTCTCTTCTACTATTTAAAAGAATTTTAAATTAATATATTCTAAGAATGCAAAATAGATAATTAATGATATTTTATTAATTATATGTATTTCATCAGTAAGAGATGAGATGGCACCTTGAGGTCATGTGATTCATTGTTGTGTAATTATTGTATACAGTGTTTTTGAAGAACAGCTTATTTTTAATGATAAATAGGTTTTGTTTTGGTGGTAGGTTTTGTTTGAGAGGGCAGACTGCATTGTAACATCATAGATGCTAGGATTATCATTATGCCATTTTATTAAAACAATAAAACAAAATCTCAGTCCTTAGGTAGAGAAAACAGTATTCAATCTCTCCTTATGACTGTAGTACAGAAGACTGAGGGGGAAGGGTGCCTGACTTGTAAGAAGCGGTCAGATCTTTCAAATCTCTTTTCACACATTTTTGAATTATAGGTAGGGTATAATTGGTTAAATACCCAAAAATCACTAAAGGAGAGATGTATTGGCCAGATTACTGGAACTAGACAGTGGCTACAGCAGCAGGAAACACGGGAGTTAATACATATGGGACATGGCTATAATGAAGGATAATTGTGCTGACTTACTCTGTTGGGAAGAACTGTAGTGTAGGCTGATTTTTTTTGGAGGAGGAATGGAATATTTTGTACTTTGCTATACCTGTGCTCATTTGCCTATTTGTCTTTGAATCTGTACTGAAAAATAATTATTTTTTTTTTTTATTTGTATATTAACAGTAAGAATCTAAGGGCTATTCCAGAGGCAGAAATTGGACTGGCAGTTATCTTCATGTCTACGGAAAAATACTGCAACCCTCAAAAGCAGCCTGCTTCCAAAGGTAATTGGAAGAAGGGTAGTAATAAGTTAACAGCCTCAAAGAGGCAATACTTCTTTTTGTGTAGAAGCATCAGTTATGATGTTCAAGTTGTTCTGTTTTGCAAGACCACTAAAAAAGAGTGACATTCTATGAAAAATGTATATGACTCCAAAGAGGTAATTGGTTTTTAATGGTCTTGCAGTAAATTGCAGTGAAAATTAGATGACTCTTAGATGTAAATAAAAAAGTAGATCTAAAACTAGCCTAAAAGACACACACACAGCAGTAACCTTGAAAGGAAAGATACTTTAAAAACATCTGCAATTCATATTTTTAGTGACCACTGAATTCATATACGTGGGGTAGTTTGAATTCCATGCTATGCTGTGTTTTCGTAAAAAACTGGGATAATCAGGAAGTAAAAGATGAATGTCAGAAATCAAGAGAATAGGAATGGAAATAATTAGTTAAGGCTTGCTTTTTTTTCTTTTTTTGCCCTTTGCACAAAACAGAATTTGCTTTAGGAAAATACAGTCACCTCCTGCATAGTTAAAAACTAATCTTTCCATAAATTAAGACAATGAGACATGATTGCCACATTTGCCAAAGTAGTAGTTTGAGACTGGACATTCCAAGTCTTGAAGCTTGTATTTGCTAATAAAAGTCTTTGAGAGAGAGAGAGGTTTGTTTGTCTAATTCTCTTTTTGTGCCTCTTCGTATTATTCTGTATTTCGCTACTATAAAATTTTCAGAAGTATGTTTTATAGATTGTTTTGTTCTGCAAAATGTTGTATGAGGTAGAAAAATCTACCATTATTTAAAAAAATTAAAGCAAAAACCCCAGAATTTGTCTGTACATGTAGGAACATTACTTACTTGAAAATGTATTTTGAATAGAGAAAGGCTTATATGCAGTACTGGCAGAGATGCTGATTCTTGTTTCCAGTCTCAGTGATTCAACTAGATAAAAATTAAGTTGTCTGAAATTGTGTAAACAGACTGGATATCAGAGTTTAAAGGGAGCTGTGTTTACAATTGAATAAACTTGTATCCCAGATACAATAATCAAATTAGAGATCATTATAAAGCAATAAATATAAGGAATTTTGTGCTCTGACAGTTTTGTATGATCTATATATTGCATGATATATATTTTGCATAAAATATATTTTAAGTACATTATGTACATAGTGGTATATGATTTCCTGTTATACTTCATTTTTATTTAAGTAGAATTCCATTACTTCATCAGTGGAATATTTAACTGAATCTGAATTCCAGAATATGGTCCTTAAGAACTCTTTCTGTCATTTTTTTTTTTAAATTAATACATCTGCTTATTTTTTAATTAAAACTCCTTGAAGATCATTTTAAAAAGATCTCGTGATCAGTTAGTAATGTGTGATAGCATGTGCAAAGAAACACAAAAAGATTTGATATTAATCTTCCTGTTCTCTCATGTTGGTCTTGCAGCTGTACCTGAAAGTTCTGCATCAGCTGTTGTAGGCCGAGCTGTTTCCCAGAGTCTGGCTGTGGATGAAACCATAATGCCAACTGCTGCAGATAGCAGCACCTTCTACATAGCTGATACAGAAGAGCAGACCTGGTAAAGTATTCATGGAAATTTCTAAGCTAATATTGGCAAATAAAACAGTCTTTTGTGGCAGAGGAACTGTATCATTGCCATGGGGAAAGAATATGGGGTAAGGAGTGCCATTCACTAAATTGATGTCATTTGTCTACAGTGAGATAATTTCTGCTCTTGAGTACTAAATTACAAAAAGCATCCCATAGGATTTAGATGACTTCCAAATGCACATGTAGATACTGCATATCTGTCTTGACTGTCTGAACTATTAAAAAATTTCAAGCCATTTCACAATTATAAAAATGTATTGATCAGAGCAGATTTTATAGTTTGTTTTTAGCACATTGTTTATAAGTTTATAAGTCCAAGTACAGGTATAGCTTTTTAAAAAAGTTTATCTCTGATTTGGTGTATCTCTGGTAACATCCTGTGTGCCATTTCTTTCCTTTCCAATCTAGTATGGAGATAGAGGATACTTCCCAGGTGCATAGACAAAGGAAAACGGCTTTCCAGGATACAGCTGCCGTAAAGAAAAACAGTGGCACAAGTGGCAGTGTAAATGCAGGAACATCTATACCTAGAGGGAACAGAACATCTGGGTTCAGTCAAAGAAGTCAGCCTGTCTCCCCATCTAAATTTTCAGAAGCTGGGAAACCTCATGAGACTGCTTCACGTCACCAGTCAAACTCAATTACAAATTACTTCCAGGTTTCTAGAAAAAGGTACACGGAAATTTTCTTGACATTACTTCCCTTATTGGTATATTCATGCTGTTTATGGAAAATTGTAACTTAAGCTATTTAAATTTGACACATACTTAAAAATTTTAGATCAAATTCCTAGAATGAAAAGGTTTTCCTCAGGGGTACTTTAAATTTCACAACGCAGTCACTAAAACCCCAGAAGCTGTTATGTTGTGGGTACAACTAATTATACTCAAAAATGCTTTTGTAATTTCTTTGTTTTGTAATTTCTGTAATATTTCTGGCTAAGGGAAAGAGCTGAAGGAGAAGAAACATCTGTATCCAAACTAGCAAAATTGGAGGAAAGGTCATCGTCTCTTCCCAAGTGCACTGAATCCATAACTTCGTCAGTCTGCAACAGTGAAGCAAAACAGCATCAAAAGAAAAATAACGTCCTGGACCCAAACCCAGATTTTGCAGAAGACATGGGTATAAAGCTTATGAGGGAAAGTGTCAAACTAACAAGTGATAGAACAGACACTAAAACCACTTCCAGTGAAAATCATGCACCAAAAAAGAGAAAGGAATTAAATTATTTATCTGAAGATACAGAAGCACTGGAAATTGTGTTTGGAAGTGGAGAAGTAGACTGGGAAGATCAAATTACAGATCATGACCAGGAAGCTCGAGGAAACGCACGAAAAAAACAATGTTTGGAAGCCAAAGGAAGCAGGATTCAAGAAGTAAATGTAAATCAGAGAGAGGAGAATAAAGTGTTGGTAAGTTTTATATTCATCTCATGTGCCAAATCTTGAAATTTGTAACTTCGTTAGAAGGATGTAGTTAGCTCCTTTAAGGAGGAGGCTGCCTGCATAGAGAAAGTGGATTTGTAAAATCTGTTTGCTTAAATCTCATATACCAATTTTTAGTTCGAAATTGTTCATCTTTTACACATGAACATTGCAGTTTTATACCTACCTAAATGTTTTTTCATTCTTCTGGGCATTTTTTTCTTTGCAAATTGAAAGCTGCTTGTATTCTGAACTTTTCCTTTTTTTTTAACTTTATATACTGTAAGTAGAATAGGAGAATTTATCCCTGGTCCAAGAAAAACTTCTCATGTTGGTTGTTGCTGTGTTTATTATATGGTTATTTATTCTAAGATAGTACTCAATTATCTTTATGTAATGAATTTTTCTGAAGAAACGTATAGTTGACCTCTTCTGTTGAATACCACAGTATGTCCAACATATTTTGAGTGTTTTGATGTCATGTGAAAGATTATTAAAATTCCTGTACGAGAAATTTTAAACCAAAAACTACAAAAACAACAGCAAAACCAAGACACAGCTTGTGTTTTCATGATTATTTTTCTGTTTTTGTTTTTGACACTAAGGAAATTTTCTAAGAGATACGAAGAAAACAATATACCTTGAGTTAACAATTTTCTGTATTGAAAAAAACAGAAAAGCAGGTTTATAAAGGAAAACAGAGTTAAGAGGTCTAGACTATTTACAATACAATAGGAAAGGAGAGAACAAGTTTATTTTTTATTTATTTAAAATACATATTTTAACGCTTACGGTCTAGTCCATTTACAGTGTAGGCAGTGTTTAAGTGTTTAAAAGTTTGAATGCATGATTAATTGGAATTTGCAAGATTCCTTGGACCACATAAGAATTAGTAGTTGCCTGTGCATCCTTAGGTCAGACCAGCTTGACACCTTGTTAATGCTTTACTGGAGCTTGCTTCTGGAGAAGTGTGAACTTCATTATAACACTTTTTTGTTGCTTGCAGCTTGGAAAGTTTTTCTAGTCTAACTCCTTGTCAGGATTCTGAAGGAGAAAAAAATCCTTTGTGCAACTAAACTGGTATTTTAGCAGATATGCACTTAAAGATTTTTGCAGAAAAGAAATCTTCTCATAGTTTAATAATGACCTACTTAATGTAAAATATATTTCCAGTGTATGGAATAGGAAGGAGATTTCATGATAAAGCTCCCCAGGCAAATATGATAACCATTTTCTGTAAGTATAGATGCAACCTGTGTATCTGGCAAGACGAAGAATATGAGTAATTGACTCAAAACTTAAAGGTTGCATAAAGCTGATTTGGTATTTTATCAACCAATAAAAATAATTTATGTTATGCAAATCTGGTTTTAAAATATAGGACATAATCAATCTGTAGAATACTTTCTTGTCCTGGTAATGAAGTGTCCTTTCTGCACACATGTACACTTCAAATATGAAACTGAAAATGCTACTTTTTATATTCAAAAGCTTTTACAGTTTTCCAGAACCTGTCAGGACTTGGAAGATTGTAGAGATGGACAAAACTTCCTAGTCTATAAAAAGAAAGAAAAAAAAGAAGGTGAATAAATAAGTGATTTTTTTTAATAGTGAAGACCTTCAACAATTTTTACAGTGTGCATAAAATCCTAGAAAATCTGAAGTAGAGGGCAATTTCTTTTCTGTCTAAAATTTATATTTGAATATGTTTATTCTACCATAAAGTACAGAAAACAATTTTATGTAATTAAATTCCCATTTCATTTCAGTTTTATATTTAAAATAATTCTTAATCAAATAGAAAGAAGAGGAACATGGATCAGTTCTAACTTCAGAAAAGGAAAGTAACATCAAGCAAGAGTCACCAGTCTTGGTAAGGAGCCAGCTGATTGTAAGTTTCAACAGTGAGCTTTAAGAAGCATTACAAAAACACATCAAAATTTTACTCTTAAGGACATAGTATTTTTTGATCCTATTTCAGTGTAAAGGAGGTTTGGAAGATTGTACTCTTAACATAAACATATGTAAATATTAATGGTACAGTTCAGCTTGTAGACTGTGGAAAAAAAAAGAGCACTTGCAGTTCATCTGTGTGGTTCTGTAAAGACATTTGGGTGGATACTTAAAGGTGACTGAAGCTACATGTAATTGTATTAATTCTTCAATGTGGTTGATACTTGTACTGATGATTTTCTTCCATTACTACTTGAAGACCTGCCAGGGATGCAATCTTGTCTGCTGTAAGATCACAACTGGAATGGAAGAGATGGAGCACTGGGAAAATAGATGTAATATATAGTGATTAACAGTAGATAGCGTGCTAATTTTTTGTAGGTGAGATGAAGGAAGGAAGGAAGGAGAAGAGAATTGCTTGGAGTGGCAGTGAGGCAGAGGAAAAGGAGACTAGACTGAATGAAACTGAAATTAAAAAATTCTGGAGGGATAGAGTGTAGCCAGTCAGCAAGGGCCAGAATAACACCTTTTCACCTACATAGAAAAATCAGCCCAAGAGGAGGGATTGCTGAGCAGGTATACCAAAGTGCAGGGTCAGCTCAGATTAAATGACTTTTAGTTACATTTTACTATAAAACAACTGGACTGCATCTGGACTGCAGCTGTCCTTGAACAGAGTTTAATATTACTTGTGAACTTATCCTGTGCCGAGATATCCTGTGGAATCCACATAGATGTAACCCCAAGCAGCAAAGTGTGCATGCAAGCTTGCTGCCATATGAGCATTCTCATGGACTAGAAAAATTTGATGCATTGATCAAATTCAGCTTACAGCCCTAGAGCTGGGTAGATATCTGTAGGCTAGAACTGAGCTGAAGATGTTCGAATTCATCTGCTGTGGAGTATTTAAATACATATTTTAACACAAGCAAAACAAATTTACTCTATTCATGGTCTAAAGAGGCTGCTTCCCCTCACTATTTTGTGATCCTAACATCTGCTTATCTCTACTCATGATACTTCTCTACAGTTTGTACTGTTAGATATGCTGCATTTTCTGTTCATACACTTTAATGTTTCTTCCCTTTTCTTCCCACATAAGAACCACAGCAAACTCCAAGATGATTCCAGCAATCTTCCTAGCAGGCTTCTGTTGACAGAGTTTAGATCGTTGGTTGTCAGCCATCCAAGACAGAGCAGTCATCTTCCTGGAAATACCAGCTATGGGGGAAAGAAAAATTTCAAAATGTTCAGAAAGGTTAGTGTGTTTTTTAAATGGTCACAAGATGGCACTATTTAAAAATACTAAAAAGTGTTGTGTTCAGATAGTAGAAATATGTTACTAAAGATTTTGTATAAATTGATAGTTACCAAAGAAAGAAACAATTTAAGTATCATATTATACTGTAAACAGATATTTTGTTAGTTGACTGAAGAAGTACCAGGTTGACAAAGGCTTACCTTGTGCTAGGTTATTTAGATACTTGTACTCCCTACTCCAAGCTGTTACTTGGAATAAGTTAAGTGATAGCTACCATAACTTCTGGTTGTACCTCCAAAAGACAGCAGTTCTACTTCTCCAACAACATATATATATACAGCATAGGCTGATTCAGAATCTTCCATTTTAACTAATAAATCTTGGATTTTTTGCTTGTTTCTTTTGGTAAAAGGAGGGAGTTAATAGATTTCTGTAAATGCTTTTTTCAATTTCAGTCACTTTTAAATATGAACTTCGAATATTATTCAGAGAAAGACTTCCTGACTTTCTTCTGTGATATCTGAATAGACTTTCTGAATTTGTTAAACAGATCTTTTACTTGCACTATGCTTGCCTTGTAGTTGTAAAAGTTTACTGTCCAACAGGTAGCTTACCCTGGGGCAGGACAACTTCCACACATTATTGGAGGATCAGATTTGATTGCTCACCATGCTAAAAAGAATTCAGAGCTAGAAGACTGGTTAAGGCAAGAAATGGAGGTAAGAAACTATTTACATGATCAAATAAAAACTTGACTAATATGAGTGGTCATATCAAACTGTGATCATTACTGGAATACTTTGGGATTTTATTTTTTAAATAAAACCTCAGCCAGTTATTTGTCCACACATGCTCATGGAAGCATATACAGTAGTAAAATTACTGAATGCCAGAGGTCAGTGGTAACACTCTTCTTTTTCTGGTTATTTAAATTCATTTTGCTTGCAACACTCATACAGTCAGAAATATTTATAGAAAGCAAAGTCAGTAACCTAAATGAGAACAATCTTTTGATGAGTAAAATAAGCGCTATGTCAAAATGTGACAGGGAGTAGAAGGAAATTCTATATGGCTAACTGTTCAAATCGTTATCAACAGTACAGTTGATATTCTACTCTTGAATAGAATATAAAGTGCATGACTAAAACTCTGTTGGAGTATACTGAAGAGATGTGGTAAGAATAAGTTCAATATTTTCTTTTGTGCACATCTTTAGATATAAAAGCCCTAAAAAAATCCTTACCATGGCAGTTCTCTAGGACTTTCATTTTCTGATAGTTTCCTTAAAAATACTTGCTGATGAGTCATATTGTTTCCACAGCCTGATTAAAATTCAGTTGCATTAACACTTCTGATCTCATTTTTTTAATTCCTGCGTGTAATGCTAATTAAAATTCCCTTTATACACAAATAATCACTTTTTTTTTATTTATTTATATAATGGTGCTCAAAGCCCAGAAAACATTTCTGACCAAAATTGACACCTTTCACAAACTGTTCCATTTCATTAGTTGTTAGCAGTAGCCAAATTTGGGTCATGAAATAACTTGTCTAGTGTAAATATGTACTAAATGGAATACTTAGAGAAAATTTACTTCTTTAGGAAAAATTTTGTTAGTTCAGGAATAGTGTTTTTCTAGATGATTCATTAGAACTCTCCTGAGCAATCAAATATTAAATTAACTTTCACAGGAACAGGATCGGCATGCAAGAGAAGAATCACTTGCTGATGATCTCTTTAGGTAAGGGTTTTATGTTTGAACTTCAAAAAATGTGGGGTTTTTGCATCATGTCTGTTTGGACAAATTTTGATTTTGGAAAAGACAATTTTGACTATTCTTTTCAAAATTTCATGTATTCCCATGGATAGAATATAGTCAAAGTGATTTAGCAATTTATCTGGAAAAAAACCCAACACTATTCAGGCTTCATTTAACATGGGAAATGGGAGGAGGTGAGGTAGAGGAGATAACATGAAAAGATGTTCATGACTGTCAGCATCTCTGTAGCCAGTCACAGACAGGGTTGAAGGTGCTGTTGTTCTGGTCTGAGATTTACATCATGTATCATCTCCTACTCCTATCTGCTTTATCTCCCCACTCCTCCCCTGCCCATAGAATCCATATCCAATCTGTAGAATCTTCTGTAGAATTTGCTGTCCAGAAGACATGTAAACATTTGAACAAACATGTTACAATGCTACAACAACAAAGTCAAATAAAGAGAATTAATATAGGGACCTCATTTTCTTTAGCAATAACTTCATTACTTTCTATGTTTTTTCTGTGAAGAAACAAGTGACCAGTGTTTGACTTCTCACCTGTCATGAATTGGATTAACACCAAAAGTTGTGCGTTTAGGTAGAAAAATGCCTATGGTGAAGAAGGATTTTTTTTCTGAATCACTATCAAACAAACATAATACTACATATCAATAGAGGTTAGAGCCATTCAGGAAATCCTACTGCATTAACAACTTGCTCTGTTCCCAGTTAATGATGGAGCATTTCTTTCAAAAGGTAGACATTTCATTTTTGAAGCCTGAGTTGTACAGTAGCAACAGTGCTGGAAGTCTGAGTTGTATAGCAACAACAGTGACTTCTAATACCTTTCTAGCTATGTGGTGATGTAATTTGGCTCACAAGTTGTCACATTTTCCTGTCTAAGCAAAAAGTCTTGATGAGTGAAAGCAGAATTAGTGGAAGTAAAACTGCCTGATCATTCAGTTGTGTCTAAATTATTCATGCATGAATACAAAACACATCAGAATTTCAAAGAAATGACAGAATTTTGGGAGACGAAGTACAAATGGAGAAGGCCAAGGGATAGCAGTGTCAAATAGAGCCAAACTATAAGCATATTGCAGTAAACTAGCTAACTATTTAGTATGTCCACAAAGTAGCTCTAAATTTCAAACAGTCAATCAGAAGCTGTATAAAGGGCAAGGTAGGGCAAGGATCTACTTTATGTCGGAGTAGGAGGCAGCAGAAAGGTTTTGTCTGAATGAGTTGTGGGCAGATGTACATCAATGTAAAGGTACAGGACCCCTTTTCCCTCCCTCCACCTATGTTTTTTTTGGTGTCCTTGTCCAGTAAATGGCTTAGTGTTGGGACATAAAAGCCTTGGAGAAGCTTGTTCATACATCAGATTTAAAGGTTGTAAGTAGTTAGGAAATTGAAAATTTCATTAAGAGTTGTCTTAAGTTCATTAACAGGTTCTACCTTACGCATTCTTCAGTCAAATGGTAGTAACTGTAGTTAATTATAGGAGTGTAGTCAGGGAAAGGACTGGTCATTCCCTTGTTATGAGTATATAATAAAATTGTTTGCATCACATTGTATATGTATATAAACTTTGAATATAATTGTTTTACTTATTTGTGACAAACTTTTTTTTTTTGTTGCAGATATGATCCTAATGTGAAAAGAAGAAGATAAATTGTGAGCTGGATTTACAGTGTTTCTCTGGAAAAACCTGCAGAAAGCAGGTTCCTTAGGTTTCCTGGTTACAGTGTGTATGATATCCTATATATGAGCATTTGAATATCTCTTACTGTAAGACATGTTTTCTAAGTCTTGTTTTTATTAAAGAAAAAACAAAAGTTCCTTTCACTGCTTGGTACTTGCAGACTGCACCATTGTCAAGACCTTTCCATTATTCACTTCAGAGTAATGCTCAGTAAAATACTCTAGATAGGATTTCATTTTAGGCTATTTCTAATGTTTGATTATCATTACTATTTTGGGGGGGAAAAAAGAAAATTAGCACCTGGCTATTTTTTCTTTTTTCAGAAAGGCTTTGTAAATTAGGTATTTTCAAGGGTATTATCTTGAGAATCTATTGAGGCTGAGATGCAACTGGTATTTGATCATGATATGATTCATAATAAACCACATCTCTGTGGCTCATTAATAGAGCCTATACTATTGTTATTGGTACAGAATATCTTGGAAATGAAAAAATCCAGCTTCTTTTTCTCTTGCTTAAACATATTTTCATTTACACCTTTAAATCAGTGTAGTTGAATGTTTATTTGTTAAAACCTACTTCCAAGCCAAAGTCTTAAAGAGCTGTTGTGTTCCAGTTTGGAATTTTAAATTATATGACCCATTTCTTTCTCTCATGCCTTTAATTTTTGCGATCACTGTGTAAAAATATGGCCTTCAAAATAATTCCTTTAACAGGGAAAGCTATGAAACAAATAGCTGTTTGTGGATTAGGAGAGCTCATCTTAATGATCTGAGAACTTGCAATTTGTGAGATTCCCCTGGAAGTACAGTGAGAAAAGCTTTCCAGACTTCCTGTCCATCTCTATGAAGCCATCACATACAGATAGAGATGGACAGTAGCTCTAGTGCATCCTGTTTCAAGAGGGATGATCTCCTTCCTCATGTGAGGAAGTAATCTGGTTGATGTAATTGAATTGACACAAACAAAACTACTCCCTCTGCCAAGACCTCTGAGCATATGAGCAAGATAAGCTGCACTGTTTGAAGCTGCTGCATTGTGTATGAGATCTAAAGAACAGATCTGATTGCAAGACCTGTGTATGTCAAGATAGCAGATGTGCTCACGTCTTCATGGTTGCAACATGCAGAATATATTTGGACTTGAACACAAAGCCAGTGTTTTCTTAGGTCTGTCTTGGCATCTTCTTGCTGGTCAGCAGCATCCAGAGTGATACACAAAGTGCAGCCCAATATTTCTGAGCTCCACAAAAGCTGAGAGTATTTTCATCAGGGCACATCAAATCTTAGCCACCAAATACCTTTAAAAAGACTGCTCTTCAGCAGTTGAAATTCTTTCTCGTGGAGATGTACTGACTGTTCCATCCACAGTTGAGGTTCTCTACTATGTGAGAATTTCCAGGTGTTCTGGCTGAAGACCTACTGGTCCAACAGAGCTCTTGTAGACTGCTGAGGTTTTTGATTGTTGTTGCTAAATTCAGTCAAAGAGGTTGGATAACAGAGTATCAGTGGACAGTATTCTTCAGGATTCTTCAGAAGGGTTGTATTTACAGTTGTAAAAAACAGCTGGAGAATTTCTGAGGTGAAAGGACAAAACATGCAATGTTATAGGGGCCTTCTACAAGAAAGTAAAGGCTAAGTCCTTTGCTGCTCAGACTGCAATCTGCTAGGGGCTTAAGCAACCATGGTGGCATAGCTGACAGCACTCTTTGTTCATCTTTTATGATTTAGGGCTCTTCAAATCCAGTTTCCCAGACAGCTGCATTTACCAGCTTCAATTTAGTATTTAAGAATTGTGGCTTCCTTTAAGCTTGGAATATTCTAGGATTCCAACTTGAGGGTGCCTAGTAGGTGATACAGTTTGGTTTGTAATCCAGTTTCAGCTGCTGTCCAGTTGATGTAAAGCCTGCACATTAGTGCACTTGAGCTTCTGCTTGCAGAAGTTAGGCTTGCATTAAAAAGCTTACATATACAAACCCCTTAACCATGGCTTGAACTGTAACACAAAATTCATGTAACGAGTCCTATTCATTACCCTCAAGTCTTCCATTTTATTTTAGCATGATTTTCACATCAAGACATTAGAGGTAACGTGTGTTTGATTACTGGTTTGGCCTTCTGTTACTGAAGTTTCTGAGGTAGATAATAAAGGATTATATGATTCAATATAACAATATTTAATAATAAATAAAATAAATAATAATAAAATCTTGAATAATAATATTCAAGATAATAATGATTACATGATTCAATGAATTTGAATAGCCAATAAATTAAAATAAATAAATTACATCAGTATCTGCCTTATCCCTGGAGCTAATGCATTGACTTCACCTGGTATTTCCTTTATGCAATAGAACATACTGTTGTGAGCTAATCTCATGCAGCCACTCACACATTCTCCCCCAAGCAGGATGGAGAATCAGAGTCAGAAAAGAGAAAGATGAGAAGGTCATGGGTTGGGGCATTTTTATAGGTAAAGCAAAAGCTGTGAGCACAAGCAAGGGCAATCAGCTTTGCATTCTGCAGTTCAGAAATTTTGCTGCATACTCTATTTTCACTGTGCAGCTTATGCTCTCTGGTTTCAACCATTCAGTTTCTGGGAGAGCTTGTGTGGTGCTGATTTTCTTTAGAAGAAAAACAGTTCAGTAAATCAGAGAAGATAGATAGCTAAAGTTTCTTTCATCTGCCACACTCGCAGTCAGCAAGTATACCCACCTTTTTGACAAAATTATGCTCTTCACCTTAAAAATACATCTAAGCAGAAACTTCAGATCTTGTTTCTTGCATTTTTTTGTATGTAACGCAGTTAGAGGATTTGTTTGGGATGCTTTTTTGGTAACATTTATTACCTTTGTTCACACTGCTTACAGGAAGGAGATGCACACAACATATAAACGAAATATACTTTTTATTAGCAGGGTTCTTAACATACAGTCTTGCATTCAGCAGCTTAGCTGATGAAATCATTTTAAAGCAGATTGAATCACTCTATGTACTACTAAAACCATGGATAGGTGCTGTATCCCTGCATGAAAATGTGTTTAATTTTCAGTTTAACTCACACCAATTTCAGCTGACTTCCCACTTTCTATGTCAGCTGGGGAAGCCACAGGTTTTTGTTTTGGAGAAGACTGCCAAGATATTCTCACTGTTGCAGTGTGATTTCTATTTCTGTCCATTCACATCTATGAGTCTGTCCTTTTTTCTCCTGCCCTTCCACCCCCATCGTCTCCCAGGATGGTGGTGGTTGTGCGTCAGGGCTGCCCTCTCCTTTGTCATTGCACCAGTTCCTGTATGTGGAAAGTGTGTTTGCAGTCAGTTTGAGTTCCTCCATCCAGCCACCTCCCCATCAACTTCCTCTGAAATCCCCTTCCTTGTCATTCCTCCCCTTCATTTGTCATAGGCTCTATTCTAGTTAATTTCTAACTGAAACAGCAGCTGAAGCTTCTACTGTAGACCTACCTCTAACCCACTCACCCATCTTGCTCCAGTCCATGTTCTAGAAATTATTTCTCCCTCCATATTTTTCCTGTTTCTCCCTCTCCCATAAAACTGGAGGGAGCCTTGCACCCTCTTCTCTTGCTCTTTTCCATTTTTTTAACAATCTGCAGCCACATTTGGCCACATCTGGCTTGAGTCACAAATTCACAAACTGATTTTTGCTTGATTTTGAAATTCTAATTGTGTTCAGGTTGTTCTGGCATTTCCTTAGAATTCAAGCCAAATGTGCCAAAAAATGAACTCTCCTCCGTACCATTACTCCTCCCTCTTCCTCCTGCAATCTTTGATTGCCATCACCATAATCCAGTGAGATAGTTATAAAAATGCTACACAATATCCGATATCCCTGACTAGCAATTCTCTCTACCACTTGCTTTAGCACTCTGCTCCTACTGCTCTGCTGCAGCTTTTACTACTGGAATCTCTGTCAGTCATTGGTTTCAGCACCAGATCCATGCAAAACAGCACCTTCTCCCTCATTCTGAACACTGCAGCTCTGAATGCCTTTTCCTCTGCAGTTTGAGCTTTCATTTGACTTGGGCTCTCTACTTCTCACAATAAGGGACTTTAAGTGACATTATTTTAATGTTTTTGCCTTCAGTCTATAATCAGTTTTCACACATTAAGATGAACCAAGCCTAGCATGCAAAGCTCAGGGATATTTATCATCTAATCAAAAGAGAGGTTTTGCTCACAAACTGCTTACAGAAAATGTTCTGTACATGTTTACATTGCTCATCTTTAAAAAAAAAAGTATGATGCAAGCATACTCCAGTAAAAGATGAAAACAGGCACTGCCACACACAAAGAAATTATATTTATACAGTATTTCCAGGTCCAGGTGCATTGTGTGTGAACAAACATATAGGTAGATGTATATAGTCCTTTATGTAATTTGAGACTGGAATTGCAGCATACAACAGACCAGCATACCAGGTCTGATAGAGATAGGGGTAAGGTCAGAGCATTGACTCAGTAAATTGGGCCAGGGAGATGTAAGGTAGCAGGATCAATTCTTGAACAATAGCTCACTGTTCACATAGCAGCTGGTCCTAGCATTCACAGTGATGAAAAATATTTGTATAGCTAGTTAAAAAACAACTGAAAAATAACAGGATTCTATAGTATTTTGTGAATACTTAGCAAACCTAGTTGTTAATTTTCTCTGTGCTGGCATGTAAATCTACAGAGGGTGTCTAGGGATATAAAGCTGAATTCTAGTTTATTGAAGCATCCACTGTAGGCTGGTACATACACATTGCCAGTGATCTCAGAATAAAGAGATGGAGGAGGAAGGTGCAAATTAGAGTTACTTAAGTCTCCAGAACAAGTTGTTTCCTGGAGACAGGATTTTGATGAATACTGATTACACCTAGGTTTTAAGAGTTGGTTTATGTTGCCCTGAACGTACAAAATTATCAGTTAGAAAATGACCTAACTTGCAGACAGGTATAATATGAACTCAAGTTCAAAGTGTGCTTGAGCTGAAATGTTCTAGTTTCTACAAAGACAAAACCACCTTTGAAACAGTGCTTAGGTTCACTATAGCTACTAAATAACACTAGAAATGCTTTTCCCCCTGCCCATAATTCTTGTTCCTTACACCAAGTTCATCCTTGACCACACAATTCTCTGTGTAATTCAAGCTTCAGAAATAAATTAAACTGAAAGTCCCAGTATACTATATTCCCAAAAATACACTGTTTTAAAAGAAGAGCTGTTCCTCACTTCAGGTTTGTGCCCCTAATGTCACCACCAAAGCCTTTCTTTTTCTGTCAGATGCTTCCATTTCCATTCTTCTGCTAAGTAAAATCAACTGTTATTTCAAACAAAACAAAACTTTTCTTTCAGGTTGGGCAAGGGGAAATGGGGGAAATATTTGTACAAAAAGCTCTGATATCCATTGAATGCTCTCGTCTTCCTCTTACCCTAAAATAAGAA